GTCCAGAGCGTCAAGAAATAAGAGCTGCATCTTTCAAGGAGGAAAGTGGGTCCCACCTCCTGATCCCCACAGGCTCTGCAAGTCCCCAGGCACTGAAGTCCTTTGCTAGCTGATGAGGTTTTCACTCCTAGTGTTTATCCAAAGTTAGACAACTATCATTTGAAGTTGTCTGTGCCTAAGGCTTCTTCTTAATTCCAGCCATTCCTGCTTACCCCAAAATCCCCACGACCTGAACATTTCACCCCATCTCCCACCTCCAGAGTGCATAGATACCCATTAACAGCTGACTATTGCTCAAATTTCAGCACCAGGACATTTATTTTTTTCAAACTGAAAAAAATATTTTTTACTGGACATTTAATCTAGGCTCATTAGGAAAAAATTAGGAATAAAGAAATTAGAAATAAAGAAAAAATTACCTCAAACATCACTTTAATGAGATATTCTTGTAAACTTTTTTTAGCCAAATGAAATGTTTCCCACATTTCTCACCTCATGTTTCTTTGAGAGAACAGAAGCCCTTCCTCAGACATGAACGCTTATTCTCTCACCACCAGGCCTGTGAACTTCATCTCCATTTGCAGACACACCCCTACCTTCTCTCCTATTACAACAGAAATGGACTTGCTTTTGTCGAAAACCAGCGCCTCCAGCCACTGGGATACCATCTTCTCTGTCCTCAGTGACCCTACCCTGGCCATTACCCAGCCCTCCTGCACCCTCAGTGGCTCATTATCTCCATTATTCCCAGGAGCTTACAGACTCTCCTCGGTTTAAAAATCCCTTCATGGAACGTAAATTGCTGTGGCCACTGTGGAAGACAATACAGAGATTCCTTAAAAAACTAAAAACAGAGCTACCATATGTTCCTGCAATTCCACCTCTGGGCATATATCCAGAGAAAACTCTAATTCAAAAAGACACATGAGGACTTCCCTGAGGGTCTAGTGGTTAAGAATCTACCTGCCAATGCAGGGGACACAAGTTCGATCCCTGGTCCAGGAAGATTCTACATGCCTCATGGCAACTAAGCCCAAGTGCCACAATTACTGAAGCCCACACATTCTAGAGCCTGTGTTCTGCAACAAGAGAAGCCACTGCAATGAGAAGCCCGTGCCCTGCAACTAGAGAGTAGTCCCTGCATGCAGCAGAGAAGATCCAGTGCAGCCAAAAATAAATAAGTAAAAAAAATATTAAAAGCTACCTGCAACCCAATGTTCATAGCAGCACAATTCACAGTAGCCAGGACATGGAAGCAACTTAAGTGTCCAATGACAGATGAATAGATAAAGATGCGGTACATATACACAATGGAATACTACACAGCCATAAAAAAGAGTTAATGATAGGGAAGCCTGGCATGCTGCAGTCCATAGGATCACAAAGAGCTGGACATGACTGAATGACTGAACTGAACTGAAAAAAAAGAACGAAATAATGACATCTGCAGCAACATGGATCGACCTAAAGATTATCACACTAAGTGAAGTAGGTCAAACAGAGAGAGACAAATATCACATGATATCACTTACATGTGAAATCTAAAAAATGATACACATGAACTCACTTACAAAACAGAAACAGACTCACAAACATAGGCCACAAGCTTATGGTTACCAAAGGGGAAAAAGGTAGGAGGGGAAAGGGGAAGGGATAAACTAGGAGTTTGAGATTAGCTATTTAGATACAAACTACTATACATAAAACAGATTAAAAAATAAGGTCCTACTGTATAGCGCAGGGAACTATATTAAATATCTTACAATAAACCATAATGGAAAAGAATCTGAAAAAGAATATATATATGTATATATAAAATAATATAAACTGAATCACTTTGTGTAACCAGAAACTAACGACATTGTAAATCAACTATACTTCAATAAAAATAAATATAAATATCACCTCTTGAACCACTGTATTCATTTTCTATGGCTACTATAACAAAGTACCACAGACTGAGGGGCTTAAAACAATAAAACTGTATTATCTCACAATTGTGGAACCTAGAATCCACACCAAATTGTGTGGCATTTGTGTGAAATTGTGTGAAGTTGTTCACAATTGTGGAACACCAAAACCGAGGTGTTGGCAGGACCGTGATCCACCCAAAATCTGTGGTGAGACTCCTTCCTTGACTCTCCCCAGCTTCTGGTGGCGGCTACCAATCCTCTATGCTTCTTGGCTTGCAGCTGCCTCTCCGAGTTCCACCTCTGTCCTCATGTGGCATTCTCCCTGGGTGTTTCTTCTCCTCTCGCATAAGGACACCAATCATTTTGTATTAAGGGACCACCCTCCTCCAGTATGACCTCATCTTAATTCACATCTTAAGATGTAAATTTCAAAACAACAGTCACAGGTATTAGGGGTTGGACTTCTACATAACTTTCAGAGGGACACGATTCAACCCGCACACCACCACATCCCTCCTGTGTCTACTCCATCTCCATTTCCCTCCCTGTGATGCTTATTCAAAGCAGCTGCATCTCACTGTCTTTGTCTCTGTACCTCCCCATCTTACTCTTCAACCCTCCACAGTTCCGCTGTACCATGGGATCGCTGGTGTCACTAGCCAAGCCACCATCACCAGACTACTCTTACAAATTCCTAACTGGTCTCTCTGCTTTCCCTTTTGCCCCTCAAGTCATTCTTTGCACCAAGCCAGAGTGATATTCTTAAATATCAATCAGGTCATGATTTGCTCTACTTAAAACCCCCCTCTATATCACACTTATAAGAAAAGCTAAATTCTTACACGACCTACAAGACAGATTCTTTCTCACCTGCCCCTGCCTACTTCTCTGACATCCTCTCCCCCAATGTCCCTGTCACTCACTGATCACTGTTTATTGTGACCTTGTTTACTTCCTTATGGTCTCTTCCCTCTCCCGCCCCTAGAATGTCATCTCCAGAAGAACAGGAACCTGTCCCTCTTTTTATGTGTACCCTCAGTGAAGAGGCAGTAGGGTCTTTTGCTCAGCAGTCACCCAAGAACGATGTATTGAATGAGTACAAACATTGTGGTAGACGGCCTCTCAGATGACCCAGTGATCCCTCCTAGTATTCATGCTGTTGTGTAGCTTGATCCCACATTGCCCAGGGTAAATCTGCAAAATCAATAGAGTATTGCAGAAGTGACAAAGTAGGATTACTGAGGGAAGTGTGAAGGTGTTGTGATCTTTATCTTGTTCTCTAGGATCCCCTGCTCCAGGGGAACCCAGCTGTCATGCCACGAGGATACAAGAGCTGTCCCATGCATAGATGTGCAGGGAAGAAACTGAGGTCTCCTGCCAGCAGCCTCATGAAGGAGCCGTCTTGGAGGTGTCTTCTTTCCCCATTTATGGGGATGTCTTTAGACACAGGTGATCATAGCCCCAGCTAACATTTCAACTATACCTTCATGAGGGACTATGAACCAGAAGTCACTTCTGAATTCCTAACTCACAGAAAGAGTGAGGCAATACATGCTTATTATTTTAAAGCACAAAGTTTGGGGAGTAATTTGATATGTATCAACAGACAGTTAATACACTTTAAATGCTATATTTTTTCTTTAAAAGATAAGATCATAATATCCATCCTGCTTAGAAAACAACTTTTTCCTTTAAATAGTATATCATGAACACCTTCCAAGTCGATAAATCCATATCTACATTTTAATGGATATTCAGAATTTCAATGAGTAAATATACCACAACTTAGCTAGCCACTCCTCTAAATCTCAAATTTTTCACTACTATACTAAAAATTGCAATGGCCATTTTTGTAATTCTTTATGACATTTATGGGTTTCTTAAAATAAATTCAAAAAAATAAAAATAAAAAAAATAAATTCAGAAGTGAGATAACTGGGTCAAAGGGTATATTTTGAGTGGCACATTTCCAAATTGTGTCTCTAGATATCTTGCATGCTTATTTCCAGGAGGATCTGAGAACTCCTGCTTAGTAGGCAAGTTCTTCAAAAACTTTTACTATGTTTCCCATCTGATAAGCTTTCAAAATGACCTTTGATTGTTTGAATACTCATCTCTTTGATTCTTAATTACAGCAGCCTTGAAACCATGTTTATGAGCAGCCCTGGGTGGGGAGGTCTCAGAGACAGAGAGGGCTCTGCCAACCTACACTTTTGCCCAGCCCACCATCTCCACCCCAAACAGCCCTTGGGAAGGACTGGACTGCCTCTGCTTCTAAGCTATCCCCTGCTCTTCTTTCTCTAGGGCACAGGCAGGGGAAGAGTAAGGGGTTTCCTTCTTGACGCCAGGCTTGGTTTGCCCCTGCAGATGAAGGCGCTGGCATCACTGGCCCCCAGACCGCTGACCCTGTCCTGTGGGGTGGTGGGGTGGGGTCCAGCTGTCTGACCTCTCCATAGCTAAAGGGGAACCATCCGTTCTCAGGCAAGGAAAAATGCTGTCTCCGTTTCCCCACTCCATTCGGCCAAGGTGCTCGAGGAGAAGAAAAAAATGGTATTTAAATTAGTAATGCCACCGACAGAACTCAGGTTAACTTTGCAGTCAGACTAAGCTATTTAGAGCTCCACCTACCAGAAGGAAGATAGATACCACTGCTCTCAGGGAGGCTTCCTGACCCTCCTGCTTGGGGTCCCCACAGTGGGGAGGTCTCCACTGGGCATGCTTCTCTCTGCTTTCTGGAGCATGGGGAGAAAGCAGAGGAAAGGGGGAGAAGGGAGAGCAGTATCAAGCCAGAGGGAAAGGGAGAAAAAGCAAAGAAAGCTATGAAGGAGAGAGGAAGGAAGGAGGAAGAGCAATGAGGCATACGGGTTATGGGAACACACGCCGGGTTTATCTGGCAGTTAGTGACATCGTCAAAACCTACAACTCAAGTCCTAGGGCTGGGAAGCATAATGTGGATTTATGGTAACTCCCTGGGGAAAAGGAATGCATTGTGTCACACCCCAGCACAGCAGGCCCTCATCAAACTTTCCCATTTTCCTCTACCCTTACTCTCCCAAAGCCTATTTTTGAAAAAATCCCTTTAATTTCCAGATCTTCATCTCAGCTCAGGTACCCTATGGAATACGAGCAGGATGACCAACCCTTGGTCTGCAGGTGGGTCAAGCCTCTCACACCTGGAGGCCCTCCTGCCTTCCTCTCCATTCCCCACTGCACCCTGGCTTATTCCAGATGTCGGTCCGTACTCTGCCCAGAGCTTTGTGGTTTCTTGGAGTCCCCACACCACTGAAAGATCCAGCCTACTTACCCAGCATCTCCCTAGCTTCCTTTTTTCTCACCACCGGGACAGATGGTGACTGCCTGGTGGATGTTAGGGTGCCAGGGTGTTGTGAACATGCTCACCTGTCCCCTGGACCTGTTCATTCCTGGACCAAGTGGGGGATACCCAGCTTCCTTCCAGATAATGAGAATCCAACCTTTTATATACCATGTGTGTTTTCACATTCTCCCACAATTCAGTTATCATCTAGAGCTGGGGCAGAGAGAAAGCGGAGAAGAGGGACCCCTGACCCTCTCTTGCACTGATAGGCACTGAACCCCAAGAAAACTGAAATCCCAGGCGAATGGCTTGCTCAAGGTCATGGGGTCAGCAGACCTGAGGTCTGATTGCAGCTTTGATTGCAGAACTGATTCACATCTCTTCTGTACCCCATGCTCAGGGCCAGGTTATAATTTCCCTGGGCCCTAGACACTTTTGTTTTTGTAGGCTCCTACCATAAAAAATATTTAAAATGAGCAAAGAAAGTATGATAATCATTTCTTTGTATTTTAGGGACTTTAACCAGGACATCTTCTAGTTGATGTTAGGAATGTTTGGTGGATTTCCAGACTTTAATTTTTTAAACATGTCATGGGCTCCAATCTGGTCAGCCATCGACTAAGGCTGAGGCATCTCTGACTGAGGCATTTTGATTGATTTTGTTTTTTAAAACCATGTATTAGCTACAAAGTATTGGATTTGTCTCAATGGGAATGGTGTAAAAAAAAAACTGAAAAGGCCTTATATGATATGTATCATACTTAATAAATCAATCTTGTAAAAAAAAAGATACTTTATGATTGCATTGGTATAAAGACAAATATAATCCTGGCTGGATTCATTATTCTATACTCATTATTTCTTCTGATTTTAAAATCAAAACCTTTTTATGGCCCCTAAGTCTACCCACTCCAGTATTCTGGCCTGGAGAGTTCCATGGACTGTATAGTCCATGGGGTTGCAAATGGAGCGACTTTCACTTCACTTCAAAGGGCTCCAGACAGTGCCCGCTGTCCCAAGGGACCAGGGGCCCACCCTGCCACCTTGCATTGAATGCTCTGCACAGATACACGGAGGCCTGCTTTTCAAAGCGCTTCCACAGCAGTGGAGGGAGATGAGATTATTAGGAAGGAAAAAAGATCTAGTTGATTAATAATGTAAAACACCTGTGTGCCTTACAGACTTCCAGCTGGGAAACACACAAAAGCCGCAGTTGACCTGACAAATAGCCAAGGGGCTGGAACTGGGTTTCCCCTGGGATGCTCACCCACCTCTTAGTCCCCACCTCCCCAGCCCACCCTGATGAAACCAGCTTCACCAAACATCTGTTTCCTGCCACTATGGAGCAAGCACTCCTCTTTCTGTCCTGGTGAGTCGGCATCAAGGACTTTCATCACGAAGATCAAGTGGAGGTGCACTGTGACCAGGGACAGCTTCCCTGTTCCAAAATGATACTGGGAGATGGCGTTCAATTAAGAAGCTGAGTTACTCTTTCTGTGTGAGCCTTTGAAGATGCCAGGTAATGGCTTCTTTAACTCTACTGCAGATAATTGCAAGAGTCACAGCCTGTCTTTTTGCTTCAGGGAGGAGCCATCTAGAGCAGAGATGGCAAATGTGGGTTGCAGGTACTACCAGATCCCTGCCCAGATTGGAGCAGACATTTTCATTCAGTCATGCATTCTGTCTGCAGAGACTGGGGTCGGGCTTGGAATCTTTCTCAGCCCTGATAATGCAAGTCCACCCATGGGAGGGAGACCTGCTAGCCCTCTCTGATCTCAACCATTCTCTTCAGCCCTTATTCCCTCCTCTCTTTTTGTAATACATGCATGAGAAACCCAAACAGTGCTGCATAGTTTTAACCCTTGAAATAATTATAGGTATATACATACACTTATGTATATAATCACTGTTCCCATTTCACAAGGCAGGAAATGAGGCTTGAAGAGGTTAAATATTTAACCCAGAACATAATCACTAATAAACGGTAGAGCTGGGGTTTGAATATAAGCTGACTCAAAAGCCCAGAACATAGCTTAATGGAGATGTGAGCTCTAAAAGAGATGCCTTAAATTAATGATGAAACATTGACTCTGGAATTCCTGGCAATGGGGAGTTAGGGAAATTGAGGTATCATTACCCCAGAACCACATCACATGAGACTGCTTAGTGAGACTGAGATCTTAATTTGTCTTCCCATCAAAGGCTCAAGATGCGATGTGAAGTCTTTAAAAGAAAGGGAAGCCGGCTTCTCCGGGGCACCTGCATCTGCTTCTCCAGGGCCACATCAGCCTCTCTTCAGATGCTCTCAGCTGCCTGCCTACTGACTCCTTGGGAATCCCTGGAAGTATCTGCAACGGAGACCAGTCTTCCGGGTGGACTTTGCATCAGTTGCTGGCCTTCTTCTCAACCCCGAGGACCCAGAGTTACAGGAAAGCTCCCCACATCTATAATTCCACCAGTCATCTCCCTGCAGGAAAGCTTTAGATCTGTAAGTCATGCACCTGAAAGAGGTTAGAATGAAGTAGGAGAAAGAGAAGCAAAGAACCAGCCCCACCCAGCATCTGGGAAGTATGGTGATGAGACTGGGCCACTGGAGGTGGACCCCGCCCCTCAGGGTCAGCCCCTGCAAAACAGAGGGCACCAGAGGGGGAGTCTGAGGGGAACTGCTTATTCTCCTTTCTGCTCCTCCTCTGTCTCAGCATCCCATCCACCGCTATGGTCTTTCTCTCTGGTCCATGCTATTGCAATTCACAAGTCCCCATCTGTGTGACCCCCCTCCCCTACCATGGCACTTGACCTAGACTTCTCTATGGGAAATGAGGTGAGGATGGGGTAGGGAGAGGATATGAGCCCTCACTAAGCACTTAGTATGTGCAAGTACTTTATATATCTTGTTTCATTTTTGCCTTTGAACTGGCTGTACAATTTGAATTTCATAATACAAATGATAGCCAAAGAGATTAAGCAATTTGCCCCCAGAGCTAGAAAGCAGTGCTAAACAGTCTTGTTCTGAGTCTGACTGACTGCATTGTCCAGACAAGACCTTCCCACCCCTCTCCAGGTTCCTGTCCCAGGCTCCATGCTATCACCTTGCTGAGTTTTAGCCCTTCTGGATAACAGCCTCCTTTCAGTGGGGTCACCAGTGCATCAGAATCACTGTCAGGGCATGTTAAACACACTCTCTTTCCCAGATCCTGATTTCAGAGTGTGGGTGGAACCTGAGAATTTGCATTTCTGTGATTTTTTTCTCGGGGTAGGGAGTTGGTTTTTGTTTTTAAGACTTTTGGCCGCTGCTGAGTGTGAACTCCTAGTTCACCAACCTGGGATCAAAGCTGCACCCCCTGCAGTGGAAACACTGCAAGTGCAGAATCTTAACCACTGGACCACCAGGGAAGTCCCAAAGTTTCCATTTTCTAATGAGCTCTCAAGTGCTGCTGCTGCTGCTGGGCTGCAGGAAAACCACACTTTGAGAACCGCTGCTTTAAATCATAAGATTTGGTATCTAATGGTGGAGTTTCAACCTTCTAGCAGGAAAATATGTGGGGCTCCAGGGCTTTTTCCTGTGACCCTGGAAACGCATCAAGGAGACAGCTGCTTCCGCATCCCTGGCCAGCCTGCTTTTGCTTAAGTCTTTGATGTGCTTCAAGGTGGAGCCAGAGAGCGCGCTCAGTAACATGATCTTTGGAGAAAGGCACTCGGGTGCCTGGTCTCTAGCCCTGGCTGCGCTGAGGGCTGGAACTGCCCGAGCACGTGAGAATTAAGAGGAAAGGCCAGGACAGCAGCTGCAGGCTGTTTCAGAGACTGCGGCTAAGCTTTTCATCAGCTGGAGCCCTATTTGCCCTCGGGGTGAGTCTGACTGGTGCTGACAGGCCACAGCAGATGCCGCCCAATCACAACAGCTGTCTCCACCTGCCCTGTAATCAACACAAAGCAGCAAGGAGGTTAAAAGCCTCCTTTTAACTGCTCCCCTCGGGGATTCCCACCCATGGCTGGGGGAGCTGACTCACAGAGGGTGGAGGAAGGAGCTTCCTGCTCACCCAGGCTGCCCCAGAAACACTCTCCTTACTGGGGCAGGAATCCCAGGATCAAGAGGAGTTAAGGAATGAGGGCAGCGTCTAAACGCCCATGAAAGTGCAAATAGCAGCCCTCGCCCGTTCTAATTAGAGCTAACATTTTGGGGGTTGCGCTGGGTCTTTGTCACAGTGTGCGTGTGTTTGTGTGTGTGTGTGCTCTCAGAAGAGTCTGATTCTTTGCGACTCTTTGGACTGTAGCCTGCCAGGCTCCTCTGTCCATGGGATTTTTCAGGCAAGAATACTGGAGTGGATTGCCATTTCCTCCTCCAGGAGCTCTTCCTGACCCAGGAATCGATCCTGCGTCTCCCTGCATTGCAGGCGGATTCTTTACTTGCTGAATAACTGGGGAAGCCACAGTGTGTGACCACTAAGCAGAGCTGGGATCTGAGTTGAAAGCTGTCTTCTCCAGATGTCATGCCCTGTTACACTGCCTCCCTTCTGAAGTTGGATTCCCACCATTGGATTCATTCATTCATATTAATATATGCATGCACTCACTTAAACATTTTAGGCACTGAGAATAAGGAAGACCTAGTCTTTACACTCAAGAAATTCACAGATGTGGAGAAGAAAAGCAAGTGATTCACAAAGGGATAAATGCTATGAAGAGCAAGTATAAAAATGCAAGGACTGAGGGTGTTAGATGAGGGCAGCTCACCCACATGGGCAGGGACAGGGCCCTGGAGACCTTGTTAGCGGCAGTAATACTTGAACAAACGAATGAAGGAGTTAGTCTCCTGACTCCCAGAGAAGGGCTGGCTTAGTCTGGATGCAGCACAGTTGAGGGCAGACTATCCCACCGAGGAGCCTTGGAGAGCTTCTTCGTCCAGTGGTTCTCAACTCTGTTGCACAATGGAATCATCTGGAGAGGTTCTAAAAGGCCCTATGCCCTGGCCCATCCCAATCAATCAGAATCTGGGGACAGGGACTCCCCAGGTGATATCAGTATGTAGCAGAGTTTGACAGCCACTGTTCTAGATGGGTCCTCCAATAGAGCTTCTCAGGCTCTCACCCATTGCTTGTTCCTGTTTCCCATCAAATGAGCCAAGTTTCAAGGAAAACTAGAGTGGGCCCCTGGTGAGTCTGAATTTTCAAGCAGAGGAGTTTTAAAGGCCTGGGAGTCTTCCCTGGTGGTCCAGTTAAGACTTCGCCTTCCAATGCAGGGGGTAAGGATTCCTGGTTGGGGAACTAAGATCTCACATGACTCCAGGCCAAAAGATCAAAACAAAACAAAGCAATATTGTAAGAAATTCAATAAAGACTTTTTAAAATGGCCCACATAAAAAAAAAAACTTTAAAAAATAAAATTAAAGTCTTGTGAATACCAGTTATGCTTTTGTGACTTCTTCCAGCTGAAGGCTGAAATTTCAGATGAGAAAAGTGATTGTGAGAAGGGGACAGCTGGATAAATACGTAGGGTGAGAATGTAACTCCAGATATAGATTTATCTTTAGCTCTCTCCACACACAAACAATTATACAGTCAGATCTTGGGATCTGGTACTCTGACCCATGACTGTTGCCAAGGGAATGGTTGCCTCCTAGCAAGGAACTCAGCGCATCTCAGGAAGATGTGGAAGGAACTTTCTGGTAAGAGAATGAATGGTAACAACAGCAATGACTGCTTTTGCTGCTGCTGCTAAGTCACTTCAGTTGTGTCCGACTCTGTGCGACCCCATAGACGGCAGCCCACCAGGCTCCCCCGTCCCTGGGATCCTCCAGGCAAGAACACTGGAGTGGGTTGCCATTTCCTTCTCCAATGCATGAAAGTGAAAAGTGAAAGTGAAGTCGCTCAGTCGTGTCCGACTCTTAGCGACCCCATGGACTGCAGCCTACCAGGCTCCTCCATCCATGGGATTTTCCAGGCAAGAGGACTGGAGTGGGGTGCCATTGCCTTCTCTGACTACTTTTGAGTTCCTAGCTAAGAACTGCTCCAGGTCAAATACTACTCCTTTAATCCTTATAACAAATTCAAGAGGTAAATATGTGGTTGGTGTAAAAGTAATCATGGTTTTTACATTGTTGAATTTGACATTTGATATTCTTAATAAATATGGTTATGTTATATATCATCTACTGTATTCACCTGACTGCTCACCAACCAACTACCACTTCTTCAAGCATCTCAGCAGCTTTTTGCAAGGAAAATGCTTCCACAATCAGCAAGAGGCATAAAATGCCTTCCAGGAGTTCGTCAAATCCCAAAGCACAAATATTTATGTTACAGGAATAAACAAACTTCTTTCTTGCTGGCAAAAATGTGTGTGTTGGTTATACTAGTTCCTATTTTGATTAATAAAGATGTGTTTGAGCCTAGTTATAATGCTTTAAATTTCATGATCTGAAACCACTATTAGATTTGCACCAACCTAATATTATTATTATTATTATTGGCATTTTAGAAAAGAGGAAATGGAGGTCTAGAGAGGCCACTCAAGCAATTAGAGGCAGAAGCAAGATTTGAACTCAAATTCCAAAGTTCTTCCCACTGGACTATGCTTACCTCTATTGAGTATAAGCAGGTAACTGACACGAAAAAGGGAAATTTAAACTAAAATTTAAGGGGGATGAAGGAAACCAGATAGTACTGCAAAAGCAGATGCAGTAGAAGACTCTCTCTTCCAAGTAGTTCTTCTCTATTTAATAATTTCCATCAGTAACTGTAAAATAGTACTTCCCATCTTTTAAAAAAACCCTCCCTTGACCCCACTACACCCTCTGATTACTTCCGTTTCTCTGAAGAGCACAGAGTTGTTTGCATTAATGTGAGAAGTGTGTGAGACCAGCTGTGGGGTGGCATGGGAACATCCTCTGGACTGGGGGGCTTTGTGTCCTCCAAGATGCTGGTGGGGAGGTTAATCCTGTCTTCCTTTTCGCATTTCTCTCTCTGCCTCTCCAGGAAGGCCTGTGTTGAGGCTAGGGCAGATGAGGGCTGCAGATGGCCAGGGAGGATGGGAGCGGTAGGGAACAGAGGCTAACAGCTGAGGTCAGAGCCTAGGTCCTGCTCACTGGAGGTCAGGCCAGAGCTGCCTGAGATGTAGTCATTTTTCAGACCATATTTTCCCAAGCACAGTTATACCCTGGGTTATTTATTTGGGATCTGAAAGAAACCAACATTTACAGAAAACCCACAGTATCCTAGACACTGTGCTAACTGTTGAACATACTTTGTTTCATTTATGCATTAAACAATGTCGCAAGACAGGATGTCTTCTTTTAAAAAGGAAAAAAGCAATAAAAAACCTGAAAAAAGCAACCCAGGACATGTTGAGCCAAAACTTCAAACCAGGAAAGAGCCTAGGAGGAGCCTGCCTTGCTGGCTTTTTCTCAGAGTATCCCAAAGAATTGGTGGGCTGGCGGAGATGGTGGCTCAGTGGCCAAAGTGACCTGAAACCCCCTTAGACTGTCGTTTCATGTCTCATCCCTTGGAGATGAACAACCTGACTCCAGCCCAGATGCTGGGCCAGCCCATGGGAATATGGCACCCTGATCACCAAATCCACACACACCATAACCACACATGTCAGGACGAGCACCAGATGCCATGAGCATCAAACCACAGAAGTGGTTTGAATTTTGGAAGAAAGGAAACAAGTGAGACTGTTTCTTTTGACCCTCAGACCTGGGCAAGACAAGCTCAGCATCTGGGAGAAGAATCCCAAGAATTCGTGGAGACGCTCCACAGACCCCTGAAGAATTCTGTTCCCAGTTGCTAAAGGATAGAGGTGTCCTAAACATGAGTTCGACCCCTGATCTGGGAAGATCTCACCTATGGCAGAGCAAATTAACCCTGTGTGCCACAACTATTGAGCCTGTGCTCTAGAGCCTGGAAGCCACAACTACAGAAGCCTGAGTGCCTAGAGCCTATTCTCTGCAAAAAGAGAAGCCACTGCACCGAGAAACCTGCACACCATGACCGGAGAGTATCCCCTGAGCTCCCCAACCAGAGAAAAGCCCAAACAGCAACAAAGGCCAGCACAGCCAAACATAAATAAGTAAATAAAATTGTATATTTTTAAAAAAGGATAGTGGTCTCCTAATGTCTAAATGTGACTTATTTCCCCATGGCTCCTCATGAAGGGAGGATGGAAGTCTGCCACCGTTTGTAGCTCCCCCAGCAGTGGAGCAGCTCTGTTGTGATAATGGGGTGATCTGGAATAGCCAGGGATGCAGTTCTGAACCCACAGATGGGCATGTCCTCAGTCCATGTCCGGAAAATCCCATCAGCACATCGACCACACTCCCCTCTGAGGCAGGGCTTCCTGCTCTCAGCACATCTGAGTTGCCCACCTCAAGACATCCCTGAACACAGAACACAAAAGAAACTTGTGTTGTCCTTTTCCAAGGAAGGCTTAGAAATTGCTTCGCCCATTTAGCAACAAGCAGGGACCACAAGGCCTATCCTGCTTTCAAAGACTGTATTACACAGCTGAGAGCATGGAAAGAAACCACAGAGCAAGTTATTAAGGATCAAAAGAAGCACCCCAGACAATAAGCATTTCAGCTATTGGAAGAAGACCCATCTCTGGAGACCAGGATGCTGTTGAGAAGAATTAATGACAGATGTGGGACTGGGGCTGGGCCTTAGGTAAGAAAGATTTTTCAGAGAGAGAAATGAAAAGGTTTTTGTTTTTGTTTTCAGATGGAGTGGCTGGCAAGAGCAAAGATGTGAGAGCAGGAAAGTGAAGAGCAGGCGTGGAGACGAGGAGGAGGATACAATTTGAAGGGCAATCTGGGTATAAGCAGAAACAGAGGCAGGAGATGTTGGGGAAACTGCCTGCCAGGCCATTGAGGGTGGTGAGGATGGCCGGGGACTGATGGATGGATCAATGGGATGCCATTGACCCTGTGGACAGTGGAGAGAAGTTGCAGGATCTCGAGTCTGAGGGTGGTCTGTCCAGCCTGGCGGAAGCGTGCAGGGTGGACCATGACGTGGCAACAAGGATATAGACACAGAGGTGAGAAGGGAGTGGAGATCAGGACCCAGGTTGCTCGTGGAGGCCACAGGCGCAGGCAGCAGGGGAGAGAGGTGGGTTCCCAGGGAGGAAGGCATGAAGGGGTGATGTGGCTCACTGTCCTTTGGGAGCGGAGGGAGAGACGGGAGTCTGAGGTGACTCCCACTCTCCAGCTAGAGAGTCTGAATAAAAGGAAAGGCGGTAATGGGGGAGGGGCTGGCTTTTCAGGGGAATCGGCAGGAAATGTAGAATGCACACTGCGGTGTGTGGAATAGGCAATGAGGAATCTGGAGTGGGAGATGGGTCTTGAGAAGGTTTCCCTGCAAATCTAGGGATGACGCAGCAATATCAGATGCTCCCTGGGGAAGGCTCAGTGCAAGGGCACACCCATCCCCACCTCCCAGACCCTTCTTGTTGTCCCACCACTAAGTCATGTCCCACCCCTAAGTCACAAGACTGCCCTGATGTCCTCATATCACATCATCATTTAATTATTTCACGCCTAGATCATAGGTGTCATGTAATAACATTGTGGCAGCCAACAGCAATTGAACAGTAAAAAGGTTAATTGCATTTATTAAAAAAAACAACACAAAACTCTGCCAAAGGAAGGTACTCCAACCATTGGGCAGACTAGTTGAAAGCTAATGTTGTGACTAAATTGAATTTCAAATGAATTTTACATCCATAGTTCATTTTGCTAATTTGATTCTCTGCATCCTGTAATTTGTTGACAGTGATTGATTACTTAAGTGAATAATATCTGTGTATGGGGATCATTTAGTAATAGAAAATGCCATGCATGATCATCACATTAATGATTATTGTGTGCTTGAATTGTCATCACCTACTTAGTCCATTGAAGGTATTGGGAAATCAGAGCCACCCCCCAAATTCAAGGGACAAGCAGATTGGTCCCAAGGGCACTGGGGTGATTTCATACCAAGGTCAAGATGGGTTCCTATATCTTTAAGACATCAGACCACAGCTTCACATCATTCATGGGCCATCTAGCCCTACTTTTTTTCTCAGCAAAAAGAAATCAGAAATACAGATTTCTGGGTTTGGAATCTCAGCATCTCTTTTGGATGGACTACTGGCTATGTTGATAATGAGAGAAACATGACTTGTATGGGGAGAGCACAGAGGCAAGGTGAAGAGAAGTTTAGAATAGAGCCACAGTATTGCCATCTGAATAGAGCTATGACTAAACACACACACACACACACCCCTCCTAGGACCTGAAATTCTCAAATCTCAGTGTGCATCAGAATCATCTGGATGCTAATTCAAAGTGTTGATTCCAAGACTCTACTCTTGAGGACACAGGAAGGTGTCCTAAAATCCGCATGTGAAATAAGCACCTACATGCACACTCAGTTCTGTCTGATTCTTTGCGATCCCATGGACTGTAGCCCACCAGGCTCCTCTGTCCATGGGGTTCTCCAGGCAAGAACACTGGAGTGGGTTGCCATTTTCTTCTCCAATGCATGAAAGCGAAAAGTGAAAGTGAAGTCGCTCAGTCGTGTCCAACTCTTCGCGACCCCATGGACTGCAGCCCACCAGGCTCCTCTGTCCATAGGATTTTCCAGGCAAGAGTACTGGAGTGGGGTGCCATTGCCTTCTCCGGAGAAAAGCACCTAAAGTGATACTAATCTGGGTGGCTCTTAATGACACTTTGAGAAACACTTTGCGTCCCTAAACATTCACTGTGACCTGCCTCAAACTCTTTTCCCAACTTTTTTTTGATCCATTCTACTCCTTGTTTCTCTTCACCCTCAAAACAACTTCATGAAATAATTCCTATTATTATCTCTATTCTCTGATTGAGGAAACTGAGGCACAGAGAGGTTAAGTATTCAGTTTTTACAAGCCCAGATTCTGGTAAGAAACCTGCAAAAGAATCTTGCTTTTGATTCTTACTGTGTAACCTTGGGCAAGTAAATTACTTAACCACTCTGACTTCAGTTTCTTCAATGGTAAATGGGCTGTTGGTCCCTCCCTAGTAGAGGATTAAGTGGGATTAGGTACTGTATATAATACCTAGTCCAGTAAACATCCAATGAACTGCACCTGTTACTCTTAGCTGGCTCTGAACATGAACCCCACCCAGAATGAGACCAAGAGAAGCAGGGAGCATGGACCACAAGATGGCCAGCCCAGAATTTTGAACTATATGAATGATGACATATTGAGAAAACGCGCCGGCTGCGCAGAAGCGTGGCCGTGAGGAGCTACCCCTCGCCCAAGGTCAGGGGTAGCGACCGAGAGCGCCAGGCTGCGACAGCGCAGGAGCGGCGGCCGAGAGGAGCTTCCCCATCTCCGAGGTCAGGGGCGGCGGCCAAGAGGAGCAACCCCACCTCCAAGGAGCGGCTGCTGCAGGGCGCAGGAGGGCCGAGAGGAGCTACTCCACGTTCAACATCAGGAGGGGAGGCTGTGAGGAGATACCCCTCGTCCAAGGTAAGGAGCAGCGGCTGCGCTTTGCTGGAGCAGCCGTAAAGAGATACCCCACGTCCAAAGTAAGAGAAACCCAAGTAAGACGGTAGGTGCTGTGAGAGGGCATCAGAGGGCAGACAGACTGAAACCACAATCACAGAAAACTAGCCAATCTGATCCCAGGACCACAGTCTTGTCTAACTCAATGAAACTAAGCCATGCCATGTGGGGCCACCCAAGACGGTCGGGTCATGGTGGAGAGGGCTGACAGAATGTGGTCCACTGGAGAAAGGAATGGCAAACCACTTCAGTATTCTTAGCTTGAGAACCCCATGAAGAGTATGAAAAGGCAAAAAGATAGGACACTGAAAGAGGAACTCCCCAGGTCAGAGGGTGCCCAATATGCTATTGGAGATCAGTGGAGAAATAACTCCAGAAAGAATGAAGAGACGGAGTCAGAGCAAAAACAACACCCAGTTGTGGATATGACTGGTGATGGAAGAAAGGTCTGATGCTGTAAAGAGCAATATTGCATAGGAACCTGGAGTGTTAGGTCCATGAATCAAGGCAAATTGGAAGTGGTCAAACAGGAGATGGCAAGAGTGAAGGTCAACATTCTAGGAATCAGTGAACTAAACTGGACTGAAATGGGTGAATTTAACTCAGATGACCATTATATCTACTACTGTGGGCAGGAATCCCTTAGAAGAAATGGAGTAGCCATC